GAATTTTAGTTTTGCAAAATGAAAAGGTCTAGAACTAGTTGTATAACAATGCTGATGTAACACTACTGAAATACACACTTTAAATGGCTAGGATGGCAAATTTTACATTATGTGTATTTTATCAAAAAATTTTTAAATTAATTTTTTAGAAAGTGTAGGCTCTTGGACTAGGGAGTAAAGAAGAATAAATCCCCTTCCTGCGGTTAAATAGGGAAGAAAAATGAAAAAGGAAGGCAGCTTAGAGAGAGTCTCAGTCTCCAATCTGGAAATTATGCCTAGAGCAGGGTTTCTCAAACCATCTGTTGTACAAGGCTAGACCTTGTTTTCTCATTTCCAACCCCTTAGAGAAAAATACTGTTCTTTCTAGAAAAATAAAAAGACTACAAATTCAAAATTTTATTGGATTCAATAAATGTATCAAAATGCTGTGAGACTGTATAAGTGCTTACTTTCAATTCTAAAACATCTCTCAGTACAGGGAAGCAGCCCACCTGTAAGAAGCACCTCCCAAGAGCTGCATTCCTCACCTAGCGGGGAAAAGAGAAAAGCGGAGGTCTGACACCAACTCAGGGAATAATAATTTGTCTTCTAACACACTCTTACACAGAATGCGCTACCTCCGACTTCAGGAAAATATTCCTGCTATCTGAATTGGACCTGTATGATGTTGCTGAAGACTTGGTGAAGTAAGGAAGCCTGAGGTAGTGCTCTCATAGGCCCGGTTAAGGAGCAGGTTTTCATTGCTTGTGAGTGGGGGTGGAGAGATGAAGAGAGAAGTGCCTGTACTCCCTCCAGCCCAACCAACATTCTTAAGTAGAGTTCAGAAACTTCCACAAGAACTGTATGTCGTTTAAGGTATAAAGGCTAATAAATCTTTCGGGGCCTCCCCGGTGGCGCAGCGGTTGAGCGCTGGGTTGCGAAGCTGCCTGCGGCCTCTGCGACGCCAGTTCAATCCCCGGCTGCTCCCCGGCCACCGGAGGAGGGTCCCACATGGCGCGCAGACCTCTCCTGCCGCTCAGCAGTGTACTTCGATCCTTCTGCCTGCTCTGCTCCCTGCTCTGCAACCTGCTCTGGCTCTGGTGAATTCTCTCACCCTCCCACACTTCTGACTGTACCCAGTGCTTGTATAAACAAAACAAACAAACAAAATAAATAAATAAAAAACATGCCTCTATAAAAAAAAAGGCTAATAAATCTTTCAAAAAAGGATTTTTCAACGTTAGCACATTAAACATTTCTGTCCAGTCTAAGGAATGCCAATGCTTTATAGAAGCAAAATGAGAGAATTATGGGCCTCCCCGGTGGCGCAGCGGTTGAGCGCTGGGTTGCGAAGCTGCCCGCGGCCTCTGCGGCGCCGATCCCCGGCTGCTCCCGGGCCACCAGAGGAGGGTCCCACATGGCGCGCAGACCTCTCCTGCCGCCCGCTGCTCCCCTCAGCAGTGTACTTCGCTCCTTCTGCCTGCTCTGCTCCCCACTCTGGCTCTGGTGAATTCTCTCACCCTCCCGCGCTTCTGACTGTACCCAGTGCATGTAAAAACAAAACAAACAAACAAATAAAATAAATAAATAAAACATGCCTCCATTAAAAAAAAAAATGAGAGAATTATAACTTTGATCACAACAGCTATTGTTTCTTTTCAGAAATTTTTATATTAAATTTATTCCCAGCAGCTATTCTTTAAAAAAATTTGGAAGTCCATATACGAGGAAGGCAAAAAAAAAGAAAAAAAAAAGAAAATCAATTCAGGATTATCTATGGCATTTAAAATGGATTTCTTTAGTCACTGTTTAAGACAATGAGGAACAGAGATGATTAGGCAACCTCTAGCACAGTTAGGAATAGAACCAGAAGATTTCTCCCCTAGGGCACAGCTTAATTTATCCTTGGCATAGAAAACTACTATAAAAATAAATCAACAATGTCAAGCAGGACCGGTGCCTCCCCCCAACTTGCATTGACCATCTGCTGCGCACGTGCCCGGGGACCACAGGCAGCGACACCCCCTGCACCCCACGCTGCCCCCCAAGCCTCAGCTCAGCAGCCCCCGGGGCAGGCGCTCCTGGACTCCGAGCTGCGCGGCGGCGGCCAGCAGAGGAGGAAACCAGGGCAGGGCGCGAGGAGCGGCTGAGCCTGCGCCCACCACAGCCACCAGCCCCTCTGTTGCCCCTTACCTCCGCAGGGCCCAGAGCAGCCGCTGGACACTGGCGCCTTGGAGCCCCTGAGGATGAACACTGAGGGCCACGCCCGCCTGCGCGGCCGGCCTCGCCCACCTGCCTGCCTCAGATTAGGAGGCTGGGCTGGGCCCTGGGAGACCCTGCCCTGCCGCCTCCTGGCCCCTGAGCCTGCAGGCCAGCCCCGAGTGGATGTGGGTCGGTGAGCGCCAGGCACACTGTGCTTGGCAGTGGGGGGCACAGGTCCGCAGCCCCCACCCATACCACACCTTCCGTGTGGGCCCCCCAGGGGCAGCTCCAGGCCCCTCAGGCCAGCCCCGAGTGGTACTGGAACAGCTTGTTTTGGCCGTCCCCTGCGTCTGCCACCACCAGCCGGCCCTGGGGCGCACAGGCCACACCCAAGGGCCGCCCCAAGCCCTGAGAGACCAGGCAGACAGGGGGCCCCACCCGGGGGAACAGGGTCACCCGGCGGTGCTGCTTGTCGGCCACAACGATGCTGCCCGCCGCATCCGTGGACACGCCTGCCGGACAGCCGAACGCATGGCCCCGCGGGCGCCCCAGGGAGCCCAGCAACTGGCCGGCACTGCCAAACAGCCGCACGTCCCCACACTCTTCGCTCACTGCCAGGCCTCCGTCGGGCCCTGGGCCCACCCAGCAGGGCCCCTGCAGACCCAGCACAGAGGCCAGGCCTCGGGGCTCCAGGCTGGGGTCCAGGGTGAACATGTGCACGGGCCCGGACACGTAGTCCGTCACCAGGACGCGGCCCAGGGCATCCACGGCCAGCCCCCGGGGGGCCTGGAAGGTGCCCACTGTCACCCAGCGGCCTTGGGGGGCCTGGGTAGTGTACTGGAGCGCGTGGACGGCCCCATGGACCAGGTCGCTGACCACCACAAGCCCAGAAGCTGTCACGGCCACATCCTCTGGCACGAAGGCCCCAGCCCCAGGCACGGAGCAGGGCAAGCGGCAGACAGCGTGGCCCTCCAGGTCCAGCATGTGGACGCAGGGTGCGGCCCCAGCTGTCAGGTAGAGCAGGCCATCTGGGGAGCAGTGCAGGCTCCGGGGCCCCCCCGCAGCCCCTGCTTGTGCCGGGATCTGCCCGAGCAGCCGGAGCCTCAGGGAGCCAGCGGGGTCTCCAGGCAGGGCCAGCGTGGGGTGCGGGCCTCGTGGCAGCTGGTTGGTGCGGGGCAGTGCAGGAGCCCAGGGGTCAGGCAGGCGGTGTGGGACCTGGGATCCCTCAGTGGGCCGGCAGTGGGGCCCCCGGTCCAGCCCTCCTTGCCCTTCCGGGCGCTGCTGGCATCCTGCAGGCGGGCGGCAGGACTGGGGCTCGGTCCGGCGTCTCAGCCGCAGCTCCTGGCTGGGGATTCTGGTGTGTGCAACCCCCGAAGGAGGCTCTCAGGCCAGAAGGAGGCTGACGGGCACAGGTGTCTCTGTTGAGAGTGGGCATGCGCCACAGGTGGGCAGATTCCCAATCCCACCTGCCCACGGAACCCTTCCAGGGGCAGCCCCCACACAGGCCTCAGCCCTGGGAGACAAGAGGGTCCTCCGAGGCCGCCCTCCTGCCCCCGCTGGAGAGGAGCCCCCTACCTGGGCCCGGGCTCCCGCTGGCCGCCAGGTAGCTGCCTCTGTTGTTGGCAACTGGAGCCTGAGGGAGGGGTGGGGCCAGGCAGCCAGGGCCGCAGAGCGGGCAGCGGGCCATGTGGGTCGCTGAGCTGTGACCCCGGGGTGCCCCTGCTCCCATGGCCCCTCCTGGCCCATGCAGCAGCCTCTGCAACACTGTTCCCCTGGTGGCTGGGTCTGGACGCCACTCACACCACTGGGAGGCCCCCAGCCCCCCAGGGAGGCCCCCCAGGGAGTCCCCCAACCCCAGGGAGGCCGCCAGGGAGGCCCCCCACCTCTTGGTGTTACCCAAGGACCAGCTACCCGCAGATTCGGGCAGGCAGGGTGGAGGAGCCCGGTCCCCGAGCAGGTGCGGGCAGGGCCTGGGGCGGGGCTTCCCCCCAGGGTGACCTCCCAGAGCCAGGGCAGGGCGGGGGGCCATGGGAACTCCCAGTGGGCGGGCGGCCCGACTGGCCCTGTGTCTGCAGCTGTGAGCTGGGTGCTGCCTGGCCAGCCTCCTGCCAAGCGGCCCTGGGAAGTCATGCGCGACCGCCGGGCTCCCTCATACTCAGGACGATCCTGGCCCAACCCCTGGCCACCTGGCCAGCTCCCCTGCTGCAGCGGGGCCTCCTGTGGCCTTGAGGGGGGTGGCATGATGCTATCGGGAGCCAGGGCCTGGTTAATGGGGCGGCACCTGCTGTGGCCGGCAGGGCCCGGCTGGCCGGCCAGGAGCCGGTGCGGGCAGGGAGCACCGCCAGGCCACTCCAGCCGCCCTGCCTCTGGGAGAGGCCAGACGCCGCCCGGCAGGACGCAGTGAGCTGTGAAGGCCACCGAGGCCTGTGGTGCCGCCGGGCCAAGAGGCTGCCGGCCACAGCCCTGGGCCATGGACGCGGGGCCGGCGAGCCCCGGGCAGCTGCGGTGTGGTCCCAGACTGGCTGCCTGTGGGGGCCCAGCCCGTGGTCCCCCTCCGCCCGTGCGCACTGCCCCCTCCTGGGGCCCTGCGCGGAACACCCGCCCCACCCTCACACCCCGGGGAGGCGGTCGGGGTGCAGGGCGGCTGAAGGGGCTGGCGCGGGGGACGGGCCGGCTGGGCCCAAGGGAAGGAGGCGCGCGTGAAGGCAGCGGCTGCTTTAATGTCTCGGCTGCTGCCCAGCCCGGGCGGGCAGGGGCGGGCGGAGAGGGCCGGGGCGGCGGGGAGCGGGGGGCGGGGAGCGGGGCAAGGCCTCGGGGGTCTAGCCACCAGGCAGGACAGGCCCCTCGGGGGCCGGGAGCAGGAGGCCCGGGGGCGGGACGCTGGAGTCGGCCTCACACTTGGAGGTGCGTCCGCGAAGGGGCTCTGGCGCCTCGGGGTGCAGCAGGCCGGGCGGCTCAGGGGTCCCCTCTGGCCCCTTTGGGGCCCCGCGCCTCACGGAGAGGTCGAGGGGCGTGTCCGGCGGCCGCGCGGCCAGTTCCAGCGCCTGGTGGATGGAGCGCAGCTCGCGGAGGATCTTGCCCAGCTGCTCCCGCAGGGGACGCGGGGCCAGGCCCCGGGCGGGCCCCAGCTGCCCCAGGCGCTGCTCCAGCCGGGCGTAGTCCCCCAGGGCGCGCGTCAGGTCCTCGCCCACCTGCCCGCGGCCGCCCGGCGCCAGGCCCCGCGGTGGGGTCGGCGCGGAGGCTTCGGGGTCGCCTGGCTCCTCGTCGTCGTCTGGCCAGAGCCTCGCGGGGAGACCAGTCGGCGGGCTGGAGGGCAGGGGCCAGTCAGGGGGGCCGAGGCCTATCCATCGCCCTTCCCAGGCGCCGGCCGCCCCCCAGGCCCACGGGAGCTCGCGCCCTGGGGTCTTGCCCCCCCTCAGGACCACACCCAGTGGCTGGGTCGCCCAGGGGCTGAGTCACCCAGCTGAGGGGCCCCCCACCCCGCGACGGGGAGCCTCCGCCACCCACCTGCTGTGGAGACCGGGCCTCGCCGCGCTGGCGGGGGGCTTCGGGGGCTGTGACCAGCTTCCCGGGGGCAGCTTCCTCTGGGGGTTGCCCTGGGAGCCCACTCCAGCGCCCTCTCCTGCCCGGAGTGCCTGGGGGCGCCACGCAGCCAGGGCACCCCCAACCCCGGGGACCAGAGCCCCAGCGCGCTCCAGGAGCAGCGGGTAGTACAGGCGGGGCGGCTGCGGGGCAGGGCAGGTGGCGGCCGCGGGGGCCAGAAGGGACACGTGGGCCGCCAGCGAGGACCCCAGGCAGGAGAGGAGCCGCGCGCCTGGAGGGTAGCTGGCGCCGAGCAGGGACAGCCGGAGGCCCTGGGCCTCGGGCGCGGCGGCGGGACCGGGCAGCGGGTAGCAGGGGGCCGCGTCCCCCCTCGGGTCCCCGCTCGGCGCTGGCGTCCAGGGCTGGGCCAGGAGCGCGTCGCGGGGCGCGGCGCTCCTCGGGCCCCGGCTCTGGGCCGCCACAGGGCGAGGTCGGGCGGGGAGGCCGTGCCCGGGAGCCCGGCCCGCGGGGCGGGGCGCGCTCGGGCGTGGGGGCGCGGGGGCCCGGGTGCGGCGGCGGCAGGCCCAGTCGGGGGCGTGGAGCAGCAGCGAGAGCGAGTCCTTGCACAGGCTGTACTTCATGTGGTTGTACAGGTGCGACTTCTCCAGGCAGGTGAAGGGGCACTGGAAGCACTTGTAGTTGTAGGGCTTGCCCCAGGGCCGCGGGATGTAGTGCGGCTTCTTGGGCTTCCGCGCCCGCGCGCCCACGCGTGCCTTCTGGGCCATGGCGGGCCAGCGGCGGCCGGGCCGTGGCCACCTGCGGACAGGGGCGGGCACAGACCCTCTGGCCGACTCCCTGCGCCTCCGCCCGCCTCTCCGGGCGCCCCGGGCGGGGCGCCGGGACGCCAGCACCCTGGGACCTCCCGGCCAGCCGGCCACGCGCACCCCGCCCCTCGCTTCTGCCCGAGCGCTTCTGGCGCCGGCCGCGGCGGCCGCTGAAATGGCACCGGGTGTCCGACTGGGCGAGGATGAAGTCCGACTGGGCGCCCTGTGTTCCGAGGGCTGGCCCTGCACCCGGCCCGGCCCGGCCGCCCCCAGCAGAGCCCAGCCCGGCACAGGCTGAGAGCCCAGGAGACCCTGCGCGAGCGGCCCTTCCCAGACCCGGTGGGGCGGGCCCAGCCAAGCGGCCGGCAGCGCCGTGCCTGGGGGGCTGCCCGCCCTCTGGGGCCGCTGCGGGTCTCTGAGGGGCTGGGCCTCCCAAGGGACAGCCAGCCTGGGGGCATGGGCTGCACAGCCTGGCCATGGTGCCCCACCTGCTCGGCCTGGCTCCATCTGGGTGGCTTCAGGCAGGTCAGCCGCGCAGCTTGGCCAAGACCCCCTCCCCGCACCACCCCCTCCCTTGCTCACAAGCGCTAGGCGCTCCATCTGGGCCACCACCTGGGCCGTGCGCGCCCCAGTGCGCCCGGGCTGGCACGCCTGCGTGTGCCAGGCTCCCGACCCTCGCTTGGCTCCGCAGGGGCAGCGGGCACCATTCTGACCTCGGATGCCCACACCAGGTTGGACGCGGCCGCTGCAGTGACACTGCCCATCCAGGCCTGGGCCTGTACTCACGCTGTGCCTGTGCCTGTGCCTGCTCCGGGGCGGGAGGGGGACGGGGCGGGGACGGGCAGCTGGGCAGGGCCCCACTGGCCATTGGGCTCTGCGCCCAGCAGGCAGTGGCATCTGCTGCCCCGAGCCCAGGTGAGCGGGCATCAGGGGCAGCTCAGGGGGTGGATGTCAGGGTGCGCAGGGCCAGGCAAGCTCCACCTTATGGGCTCCAGCCCTGGGGCTCAGGCTGGAAGGAGGGGCCGGGCTCGGGAGAGGCCTGGAGCTCTCTGAGGGCTGCAGACCCTGCCTGGAATCGGGGTGGGGGCTGAGGCAGACCCCACCGTGCCCCGCGCCTGGATGCAGATGACAAATGGGTGTGTGCTCTGGAGACAGAGGCGGCTGCGCGGAGGACATCGATCACCCAGCCCTGGGAGCCGCACAGCTGTGCCGCCTGGTGCCACCGCCCACCCAGTGCCCCGCTGGCCATTAGACTGGGGGCGCCTCCGGGCCACTGGACTCAGGGGGGCCACCCGCTATGCTGCAGATCAGCCCCCTGGTGAGGGGATCTTGTCCAGAAGTCATGGCAGCAGCTGCTGACCCCAAGGACACCCAGAGGGTACCCTGATGCCGCCTGGCATACTTGTGCAGAGCAGAAGGCACCCCCAGATACCAGCCTGCACCTCCACCACCCAAAGTCACCTTCCTTCCCACACATGCCCCAATCCGAGACTGAGTGCATGGCCCCGGCAGCCTGCACCCCAGGAGCGGGGCGCCTCTGGGGAACGGCTGGTGGCGGGCCAAGACCGGGACACCCCACCCAAGATGGACAAGAGGACACTCCTGCCCGGGCCACCCAGCAGCCACCTGGGGTCCAGCGCCCCCACCCCCAGGTCCCGCTTGGGCTTCGGGGAGCCTCCCACAGGACGTGCGTGGCGCAGAGAGAGGGGCCAGGTTCCTCCTTGGCTGAGGCTGCGACCCTAACTCCCTCGCTCCGAGCCGCACCCAGACGGCCGGTGGCGGTGCCGGCTGGACCCGGGTAGAGGGGCCGGGCCGATCTGTCCGCGCCCAGAGAGCCGCCCCCGCGCCCCCAACTCAGCCCACCCGCAGGCCCCAGACTTGGCTGGACGCGTGACCACCCGCGCCCCGCCTTACCTGCGCTGCGCCCCGGAGCCTGCAGCGGTCGCGGACCCAGCGGAAACTTACCGCCCCGCCCCGCCCCGCCCCCGCAGCACCGGCCGGGCCCTCGGGACGACGACGCGGGCGCCCGTGGGGTAGCAGAGGCCGGCGCCGGGAGCCGCGGCCGCTCGCTCGGCAGCGACTCCCCGAAGTCTCCGTCGCGACCGAGTCCCCCCGATGCTGATTCACGCTGCCCAAGTTGGCGGCAGCGGCTGCCGCGCGTGCGCCTCCGCACCGGGCTGCGGGGGGAGCTGCGGCCGCGGGGCCCGCCCGCGCGAAGGGGCGCGCGAGCGCGCTCCCCCCGGCGCCCCGCGCCCCTCCGCTGGCCGCGGCGCTCCCTCGTCCCGCGGCTCCCGGGGGCCCGCCGCGGCGGAGCTGGGAGCCGGCCCGCGGGAGGCGCAGGTGCGCGATCCCCGCGGGCGCCCGGCCGGTCCCGCCCCGCGCCCGAGGCTGCCGCGGGGCCCGGCGCTCTTCGCCCGCGGCGCCTAGACGGTGTCCGAGTCGGGCCCGTCCGCCCTCAGCCGCCGGCCGCCGCGGGGCCCCGGAGAGGGCCTGGGTGGGGACAGAGCGCGGTGCCCCCCAGCCCCGCGGCCAGCCCCCGGAGCCCCGCGCCCCTGGGGCCGGCTTGGGAGAGGACCCCGCCCCCTCCTGCGGGGCCCCGGCCCTCCTGGGCTGCCGGGGTGGGGTGGGGTGGGGTGGGGGCTGCATGCTGCCCCTCCCGCCCGTGGCCTCCCGGCCAGGCCCGAGCCCACCTCGCAGGCCGCCCCCCAGTCCGGCGCCCCGTTTCTCACCTGGGGCCCCGCGGAAATCTGACTGGCCACTTCCTCTGGGCCCTGGTACCGCCCTGGCAGCGGCCAGACCCCGACTCCCGGGCAGGCTCTGCCGTGTCCAGGGCGGACACCATAACCCGAGGAGCCTGCACCCGGGTCAGGGGGTCCCGGAGGCCCTGCCGGCTCAGCCGCGGCCTCTTCGGGGTCCTGTGTTCCGGGGCACCTTGGGGAGGAAGGGACACCCTCTGGGCGCCCGGGCGCAGACAGGGCCCAGCCCCCCAAGCCCCCGAACTTGGCCTGAGCTGCCCACCCGCGCAGGGTGAGAGGCCAGCCCGCGGAAGGGGGCGCAGGCGAGCCGCGTCTCGGTGAGAACCGGCCCGGGGCACTGGCGAGTCTGCAGGGCTGGGGCCGGGCGGGCCACGGTGGGGGCGCAGCTTCCTCTCTGCCTGCTCAGCCTGGCCCAGCTGACCAGCTGACCGTGCAGCAGCCTCAGGCGGAGGCAGCGTCCAGGCCGTCACGCCGGCCACCCTATGGACCGCAGCGCCGGCTCCTGCAGCGCACAGACACCCCCGGGCGTGCACAGCCAGGCCAGGGCTCATGTGGGTGCTGCCTGGGGGGCTGCCCGGGGGGCGCCACCTGGTCCTGGAGGCTGGGGCTGAGGGCTGTCCGTGGCCCCGGCCGGCCGACCCTCTGGGGCAGCTGCCGGTGCGGGCTGGAGTGGCGGGCCAGGGTGGGGAGGAGGCCGAGGGTGCGGGCAGGGGGCGTGTGGGGCTGGCTGGGGAGCTGGGCACAGCAGGAGCCAGGGGACCGGCCGGGGTGTGCACGGGTGACCCTGGGCCCGGCACTGCCCACTTGCCCCACAGTGGGGCCCTGAGGCAGGGACGGGGACCCCCAAGGCTCCCCTTGAGCCCAGACCCTGCCCTTGGGTGGGTGGTGGGGGCTCCTCTCCTTGGCCACCTGGAGCAGGGCTCTGTGCCCGGCGACCCCTCTCTGGACAGGAGCGGCCGCGGGCCTCGGCCTGGGTCCTGCTGGCCTCCACGGGTCTGGGGCCTGGCGTGGGGGTGGCAGCGGGTGGGGAGGGAGGGCGGATGGTGTGGCCCGGCAGGCTGTCCCCGCCTCAGGGTCCACACAGCCCTCGCCGGGAGGGTGCCGGGGCTGCCCTGCGGGCTGAGGGCGGGTGGCGAACCCCAGGGGGCTGGCAGCCCACACCCTTCCACAGGGCCGCGGTGGGCTCCAGTGGGTCCTCCTCCCGGCCGCGGGCTGCCCCAGGCCCAAGGGGCGGAGGTGGCGGGAGCCGGGCTCGGCTGCGGGGTGTGGGGGGTGTGTGTGTAGGTTGGGGTGTGGGGGGCTGACCCCAGGCCCTGGGGGGTCTCCAGGGCCCCGTCCCAGCCCCGCCCGCGGGGGTGCAGCGCTGCTCCGACCGGGCGGTCAGGAGGGGCCGGCGGGCCCGCGTCCGGTCGGGGTGGGAGGGCCTGGGCCGGGCGGCTGCGGGAGACGAGCCGGTGCCCTCCGCGGCCCGAGGCGCTGGCCTTCCCGGCTGTCACAGGTGATTTTCCCTGCCTGAGTGGCGGCCGGCGGGGGCGCGGGGGGCGGCCGGGCGGGGGCAGGCGGGGGGCAGGCCGGCCAGCAGGGGTTGGGGGGCCGGCGGGGGGCGGGGTGTAAGGGGTCCCTTTGATACCGGAATTGTCAGGCCTAGTCTCCCAGCCAGGAACGGATTCCAGGCTGCAGGGCAGTGCTGAGCCCCAGCCACTAGACCCCCACGGGTTGGTGTCTCATGAAGCCGCAGCAGGAACTTCGCAGACGCTCAGGCAAGCAAGCAAGAAGAGGCAGTTTGTTTAGAAAAAGAAAAAGTTTATTGAGGAGAAAAAGAACAGAAATAAAGTGGGACTCCCAGGCCAGGAAACCAGGCCTGGGAGGGGCAAGGAAGCCAAAGTAGAGTCGTGTCTCAGGGAATATAGACCTTCTTTCCCTCATTATTCTAAAGCTGCCCCAGTCTCTCTGTGATTGCTTAGTTCTCGGCTGTCTCACTCAATTTGCTACTGAGTGGGGCTCTTCACATTCCTTATCTAACAGCTTTCTCTTTCCCCATTTGTTGCATTTTTAAATTTATGGCCCAGTCCTCTGGATGGACATCCCTGCATTGAAGTTAAACAGCTGCCCTTTTAATGTGACCATAAATTAAACCACTCTCCATTTCTCCAATCTCCGCCTCCCTTTACCACCTGAAGGAAACCAGGACCAGCATTAACAGTGTTGTCCTTGGTCCTGGCATGTTTGTTTTTCCTAATGGAATTGGTTATATTTCTTTGGTTGTCCTTATCTCTGAAGCCTCCCTAAATTCTTCAGAGGTCCCCTCCTGCACAGTCCCTAAAACTGCCTAATAACCCTAGCTTGCCCTGTCTCACCTTTACCGGCGGGAGGCGCCTGCCCCCCCCCTTCCGGGCCGCGTCCAGGCCGCCCTCCTGTGGGGGCCGGGGGACCCCCGCACTGCCGCGCCCGGGCGGGGGCGCCCCAGCCGCGCTAATGGGGACGCTGAGCGCTTGTGACAGGCGCGGGCGCCGCGGGCAGGGCCTGGGGGCGCCGCGGGGTGCGGCGGCGCTGACCCCCTCCGCGGGGCCTCGGCCCGCGCGTCCTCCCCAGGCCCTGACTCTGCGCCAGCGCCCCCCCGCGGCCCCCAAAAGGCTGGGGGCGGCCGAGCCCCGCCGGCTGAGAGGCTGACCGGGTCCCCTGGGAACACCCTGTGCCTTCGCCTGGGGCGCCCGACCCCCCTGTGCCCCTTCCCTGCCGGAGCCCCCGCGGCAGCTGGGCTGGGGCCCCCCAGGCAGGGCGCACACGCTGCCCGCCCGCCAGGAGGCCCTGCCCGGCCCGAGCCCCGCAGGCCTGGCCGACGGGTCCCCGCGGGCGGCGGCGGGGGGCGGGCGGGGGGCGGCGGGGCAGACGTGCCGCGGCAGCTCCCGCCCGAGGCCCGCCCGGGGCCGGCTCCGCCGCTGCCTTAATTGCTCCGGCTGGTGCCGTGAGCGAGGCCGGCCTGCGGCGTGGCTGCACGCAGGCTGCGGGCGATGTGTAAGGGGGTCCCCACCTCGGGTGCCCAGAGCAGCGCGGGCAGTGAGACTGCACGGGTCGCGCCCCGCAGCCCCCAGAGCCCGCAGCTCTGCGCTGAAGGTGTAACAGGGTGGTCCCCAGGAAAGGGGGAGGTTCCAGGTTCCCTGCCCCACCCAAGGAAGGGTGGAGTTGAGCAGGAAGAAGAGAAGCTGCAGAGGAGACTGAGGAAGAAAGCAGGATGGAGCCAGAAGGAGACCTAGAGGAGGCGCATGGAGCCTAGAGACACGTGAAGAAACTGCGCTTGTCTTTTGGTCGTGGACTGGGTGACACAGATGTGGGTGAGACCCGTGGGGAGGTGACAATGGCAGCTTTTATCTTGATGTTGATTTTGCTCTTTTCCTTCCGGGCTTGTCTGGTTGTTTGTGACCCTTTTCTGTGGGTCCCCACTGGAAGATGCTTTAGACTTGTGGCAGGCTTTGGGGCTTTGCTCTGGGCCAATCCCATATGGATGGACTTTTACCCACGAGGGGATGGGTAACTTTGGGTGCTTCATTTAGAAACTAGACTCTTTGCCTTACCTGTATTGTTTCCTAGTTTTATTAAAGATCCTTCCCATTAGTCTCATGTGTTTTGTGTTGATGCGGCGGATGGCCGAACCCATTTAGAATAGGCAGGTTTGCGGGGTTTGGGCTGCCCCACTCCCTGTCCTATAACAAAGGGACGCGGGGCAGCGCTGGGGCAGAGTCTGGGGCCCGCGGGGTCGGAGCTGGCCCTGCCGTGCCCCCGCCTCCGGCCAGGGAGCCCCGCGCGGCTGGGAGCCGCGAGCCCGGGAGCGCCCACAGGACCTGGCTCTGGCCGCTTCCCTCCCAGCTCCTCACGTCCTCCCAAAACTGCCCGTAGGGGTTCGGGCGCGGGGCTCGGAGCTCTATTGGATTCCAATTAAGTTTTGCTCGCCCTCCGGGGTTTCTGCTCAGAGAAAAAGCGGGGTAGCTGAGCGTAAACGCTCCCTCCCTTCATTTACATGGAGGCCCCGCCTCCCTGATCCTGAACTGCCCCGGGGCCGGACCACCAGTCTGCGCCGGTCCCCAGCGGGAGGCCAGAGCTGGGAGGGGCCCTTGCTCCCGGGTGCACTCTGCTCTCACCCCTGTGGGGAGGCTCCCCCGACTTGGCCAAAGGAAGGCTGGGCACCCGGAGGGGTGCTGGCCGCTTGGCCTTTCGGTTCTTGCTATGGAGGGGGAAGCAGAGATGGTCTCGGCGCCCAGCTGAGGACGCAGGGACTAGTCTGGAGAATTCCTGGAGGTAGAGCTAGCTGGAAAGAAGGGGGGGGGGACACAGAAAACCCAGGGCCTGCTCTGGGAGGCCCCCTCCGTGGCCCACAGGGGCGGCTCCCTGGAGTGGAACCTCAGCTCCAGAACGGGGCCGCCTGAGCCTCCCTGGACTTTGGGATTAAGTTTCAGGCCCCCCTTGGACCCCCTGCACCCCTCTCCTACCCGAGGCCCAGGTGACAGAAGGACAGGGCTCCCAATTTGGGGGCAGCAAGTCCCGGGGCCAGAGCTGTGGCCTCCCAGCACACACGTGCCCAGGCTCCGGGCCGCGGCCTTCTGGAGGGTCGGGACTCTCCGCGCCCAGACTCCCCAGGACTGGAGCCATGTTTGGTTTACAGCAACCCCAGAGGTTTGGAGACCCGCTGCCTCAGGTGTGGGGCACGCTGCCCACCTCTGTGCCGGCTTTCGGCCCGCGGCCGTCCTGGAGTCCTGGCAGGGGACTGGCCTGGGTGCTGATGCGCTGCCTGTGCCTGCCCGGACCCTGGGCGCTGCAGCGGGTTGGGGGGCAGATCCGGAGATGCTTGTTTGTCTGTTTAATTTAAGCGATGGACGCCTAGGGCCGAACGCACTGCTGGAGGCTGGAAGGGAGTCGGCTCCGGCACCCCAACCCCAACCGGCCCTCCCAGACGCGCAGGACCCGCCGCGCCTCCCGCCGCCGATGGCGGGGCTCCCGACCCAGGGCCCGCCGGGGAGCGGGGCGGATTCAAACTAGCCATAAAATAACTGTGTACCCACCATTATTAAGAAATGCCCCTGTGTAATCAATGAATGATGCACCTATGTAACGAATGACTGCCAACATGATTTAATTTTTAGAAATCTACTTGTATCCCTATATAAGATCCCTGTATCCTTTGTTTAGGGCTCCCGACCTCCACCGTTACATCAGTGCGTGTGGAGGGCCCGGTCTCCAGCCGGTAATAAACTCCTTTGTGTTCTTACAGCGGTTGTCTGTGTGTCCTTGGGGGCTGCACTGGTCGACGCTGGGCACAACAGGGACAGGGCGGCGCCTTCAGGGACTGGCCCCTGCGGGGAGCGCGGCTTCTGTGCCGAGAAGCATCTTCCCCTGCGAGCCCCAGGGTCCCCGCGGGCCTCCACTGATGGGAGGAGGCCCCCGGCGGGCCGGGGTCGCCCTCGAGACGTACTGACGGTCAGGAGCGCAGCCGCCGCCGCCGCCCAGACCGAGTCCACTAGTGGGGCCGGAGCCTGAGCAAGTGCGCGGGACCCCCCAGGCTCAGGAGGCCGGGCAGGAGGGGCGAGGGGTGCAGGGAAGGTCCGCGGGCGCGCGCGGGCTCTCGGCACAGTCACCAGGTCATGTTGGGGCGCGGAGGGGCGCAGGAGCGCCCCAGACGCGCCAGGGGCGGGCGGGTCAGGCTCCTCGGCCGGGCCGGGCGGGCGCTGCGTCGGGGACGAAGGTGCAGCTGTGCCCTCAGCTCAGTTTTCAGGGGCCAATAGTGGGGGCTGGAAGGCTCATGGCCCCCGAGCCCGGAAAGCAGGGGAGCCCCTCCCCGGAGCCCCGCCCTGACGCGGGGTCCTGGACGCCAAGGGCCGCGCTGGGCAGGACGCTCTCCCCGGACGCGGCTCCGTGGGCGCGAAAGGGCCGCGACCCCCGAGACCGGGGCCACAGGTGCAGGTGACCCCTTGGACTCACTTCCTGCGGCGGGGGGGAGCCTAAGCCCCGCCTCTGTGGAGGCCCCACACGGAAGGAACCGGCGCTGGATGTGCGCCTGGAGCAGGAGACGCGAGAGAGGCTGCGGGGAGGAGGCTCCCCAGCCGCCCTCCGCGTCCCCCCTTCTCCCCATCCTCTCCGCTCACCGGTGGCTCCCCAAGGCCGACAGGGCCCCCAGCGCGCCCCTCTCCCCTCTCGGGCAGCGCGCGGGTCCCGGACCCGGAGACTCAGGAGGCGGCGGGGCCGAGGCGGGAGCGGAGGCGCTTCCCGGCCGCGCTCACCGCGTCGGGCGAGGAGAGCGGAGCGGGCGGGGACGCTGCGTCCTTCTCGGGGCCGCGGACTCTCTGGCCGGGCCGCGGTGGGGCTGGCGAGGCGGGGACGGGGCCACGCGCAGGGAACTCGGGCGGCGGGGAAGGGCTGGACGCGGGCGCTCCGGGGCTTATGTTGGGCCCTGAGGAGCACGTGGGCGGGCCGGTCCCTCAGGGTGAACTGCGCGGCCGCGGGCTCCCTCCGGCTCCTCGGGACCCTGAGGGCGCCCCCGGGGCGGGCTCCCCTCTGTCCCGCGGGCCGTTTTCACTCCCGCAGGGTTAAGGGGGCGTTTGGGGCACACGTTGTAAGCTTTCTGGGCTGAGCCCCCTAGGCCCAGCAGCGGAAGGGCAGGGCGGGTGCCCGGGTGAGGGGGGGCGGGGGTGTCTGTATCATTAACGTGTGATTTTAACTTTGTGTGATGTTTAATATTTAAGTTAATCATGTTGTGTCTGTGTCGGATTGTAACAGGGTGGTCCCCAGGAAAGGAGGAAGTTCCAGGTTCCCTGCCCCACCCAAGGGAGGGTGGAGCTGAGCAGGAAGAGGAGAAGCAGCAGAAGAGACTGAGGAAGGAAGGAAGCAGGATGGAGCCAGGAGACCTGGAGGAGGCGCATGGAGCCTAGAGACATGTGAAGAAACTGCGCTTGTCTTTTGGTCGTGGACTGGGTGACACAGATGTGGGTGAGACCCGTGGGGAGGTGACAATGGCAGCTTTTATCTTGATGTTGATTTTGCTCTTTTCCTTCCGGGCTTGTCTGGTTGTTTCTTTTCTGTGGGTCCCCACTGGAAGATGCTTTAGACTTGTGGCAGGCTTTGGGGCCTTGCTCTGGGCCGATCCCATATGGATGGAGTTTTACCCACGAGGGGACGGGTAACTTTGGGTGCTTCATTTAGAAACTAGACTCTTTGCCTTACCTGTATTGTTTCCTAGTTTTATTAAAGTTCCTTCCCATTAAAGTCTCATATGTTTTGTGTTGATGCGGCGGATGGCAGAACCCATTTAGAATAGGCAGGTTTGCGGGGCTTGGGCTGCCCCTCTCCTTGTCCTATAACAGGATGTCACTCAGCAGTGTGAAGGCAAGACGAGCCCACATTTTGGATGCGGCTGGACTGTTGACTCTCCCTGCGGTGTCACAGCGCGCGCTCCCTGCAGGTGTTCTCACTCTGTTCTCCTCCCGCGTGAGGGGTAAGGAGAGGGTGTGTCATTAATGTTTCTTCTGTGGTGGGATCACAGCACTGCCAGGATTCTCCACTTTCAACATTTAACACTAACATAAGGACTTTCCACGCCATTAAAGACTGTTCAGTGTTACTGTATCTAGCTTTTACATTTAATTTTGTGTATATTGGGGGTTTTTATTTGGATAGTTTTGAATCATTTTACTGTAAATAAAGTGTTATTGAACACTGTTACACATAAGATTTATCGGAATTTGAAAGCATTTCCTTAGGTCATTTCCAAAATTAAAATTACTATTTCCACTGAAAATGTATTTTAGGGCCTCCCCAGTGGCGCAGTTGAGCGCAGCCTGTGGAGCTGTCCGCAGCCTCCGCAGCGCCGGGTCAATCCCACCGGCCTCGGAGCAGCCCACATGGCACAGCAGACCTCTTGTGTCATGCCTGCTGCTCCCCTCAGCAGTGTGTTTCAGTCAGTTTGTCTGTTCTGCCCCCAACTCTGTCTCTGGTGAATCCTCTCAAACACAACTACCATGTCTGGCTTACAACCCAGTTCTTGAGTGCATAAATAATCTTTTAAGATTTATTTATTTATGCACACAGGAACTGGGGTACAGGCCAGAGATGTGGGGGGTGAGAGGATTCACCAGCAACAGAGTGGGGAACAGAACAGGCAGACTGACTGACTGAAATGCACTGCTGAGGGGAGCAGCGGGCATGACACGAGAGGTCTGCTGTGCCATGTGGAACCTTCTCTGGCCAGCCGGGATCGAACTGGCGCTGCAGAGGCTGTAGACAGCTTCACAGCTCTGCGCTCAACCGCCTAAGCCACCAGGGGAGGCCCTGTTTTAAATACAATTCTTAACACATCTCGCTTTATTTGCATTTAGAGTTAGGATCATCTACCTTTTGATTTTTAGATTGTGAGAGGTTATGGAAAATTTTCATCTTTATTTATCCACAGGCCCAGAGGTGATCTTTTTCCAAAGTCCGAGCCCTGAGCCATTGGGCGACAGAGTACCCATGGCCCCAGCAGGGACACATTTGCAACTTGAAGCAAGCAGGGAGTAGAGAAGCAGGAGACTTCTAAGAGCTCACCTGGTCATCTGGGGGGCACAAGTCAGGCTCCTGGCCAGTCACTCCCTGAAACTTTTAGTCTACCCCCAGGCCTTGTCCCAACATAACTCCAGCTAATGAGCAGGTCACAGTGGGCTGGGGCAGGCGGGCTGGGGCAGAAGGCACAGGTAGGTCTGTTGCAAGCTCCAGGACTCCCAGCCTTTCACCAACAGTGTCTGCCGCAGCCAGACCCTAAAATATCCACAAGTCATTAAACAGCAAACAAGGTTGCTTGAATTTCTGGGAAAGATTTTTTTTAATCGTTGTTAAAAATCCCCTACCTGAAGCTGACATAAAAGCAAGGCGTGGGGCCTCTCTGATGGCGCAGGGATTAAGCACAGCACTGTGAAGCCTCTGCTGCACGAGTTCCATCTGATGGAGGGCAAGAATGGAAAGACTGGAAAGGGAGGCCTCACGAGACTAAAACCTGACTCACGCAAGGAGGTGGGGGTCGAACCCTTAGGCGCCAGTGCCTTGTCACAAGGCAAGAGACCCAAGCAGGATCCGATATTCTAGGGAGTGGCGCACAGGCCTGAGGGGAAGGATATGGAGATTGGGCCCACCCTGGAATCTCTGGTCCCTTTCTAGTGTTGCCTGTTACCGACATCAGCAACAGGCAGCCACTCCATGGAAGAGTGACCCTCCCAAAGAGAAAAGGGCTGTATCAGGGCAGTCTCTGCACGGGCTCAGGGCAGCCGTCCGTCTGCCCACCCGTGACTACGCAGGTGCCTCTTCTCACCAACTCTCTCCCTCCGCAGGGCAGCAGCCTCCTGCCTGCCGTGACCTGTCAAGGCCGCCCGCCTGCAACCATGCAGGCTCTTTCAGCGAAACCTGTCCCTTTCCCTCATAAACCTGCCCTGTTTTTTGTTTTGTTTTTTTGTGGGACCCTCGCCAGCAGCCAGGGAATGAACAGGCGCTGCAGAGGCTATGGGCAGCCCCTCAGCCCAGCACTCAACCACTGCACCAGCAGGGGAGGCCCTAAATCTGCCCTTTAATGTAACTAGTGTTTCTGTCTTGTGGAGAAACGTGGCTGGGGAACTTGCTGTGTCCCGCTGTAATGGGAGCTCTGGGGGCACCTTTCCCAGAGTGACCCCCGGGACCCCCACACACTCTACAACCTACAACATTTTGGCAACCATGAAGGGACTCATCACATCATCTGGTGCCAACATCACATCCCCAGCCAGGAAGGTGACCCGCAGGTTGCCACAGACCTCTCCTGTCTCCCCGCTGCTCCCTCAGCAGTGGATTGCAGACAGTCCACCTGTTCTGTTCCCCACTCTGTCTCTAGTGAATCCTCTCACCCTCCAGTGCATCTGCCTGTACCCTGGTTCTTGTATAAAATAAATAAATCTTAAAAAAATTAAATAAAAGCACGACTAAAACATCATTTACCTGCAGATCTGGAAATGGATCCTATTGTACACATTACAAAGCAGCTGCTATTCAAAATACATTGTGAGAAAAATGAAGGCTCTCGGCTCCACATCATGGTGCAGCACAATACACTTTGGCCCAGACTCTGACATCCCTGAGTCTGTTCCGGGGTTTGGTGTAATATTCAGCCTTGAGCCAGGAGCCTGTGTTTTATTTTGGGGGCTCAGACGGGTCTCCTGGGGACTGTGCAATCTTGGCTGTCCTCTCTCTGCCTTTGGATTGGTGAGCTCTATAGAGGATCTTCTACTGCCACTTTGACTTTAGTTGTCTGGTTCTACTTCCCTGCTCAGCTTTTTCTTTTTCTCTTTTTTCTTTTCTCTTTAAATTATACAAGGGATCTCTTTTAAACTTTTCTTTCAGGGAAGATTTGTTAGTGTTCCACTTCTTCAGCTTTTGTTTGGGAAGAACATTTCTACTCTCTTGTCTCTGTAGGAGAATCCTGCAGGTTAGGATATTTGTGACCCGTATATTTTATCTCTATTCTGAATGCATTATTTCATCCTCTCATTCCACCACAGTCCTCCAGAAATGTAAGCTGGGTCCATCCCCACATATGCACGGTCCATGACAGAAACTTGTTAAGAGGTGCTGGGATCTGGACTTCATCCTGGTGCAGTTACCTGAGCGTTCTGAAAGGATAACTCTACAAGACTTTCCATGAAAACCAGCATCAGGAACATCATGGTACACTCTAACCTATAGACTAGAGAGAGAGAAATTGGAGAAAGATGAAAATTTCCATAGAAAGCAGTCCAATAAATCCAGAAAAGAAGAAATTTATTATATAAGGAAAAGAGAGCCAAGATCACCCATTTTCTGGGGCTCAAGGACCATAGGGAAAGCTTTTGGTATGGGGACTTGGCAAGACTCTTGTGTATTGTTGGAGTGCTATGCAAGAAATCCCAGGTCCAGACATGCAAATGAGCCCTCTACTTTCCTTTTGCTTTGTGAAATGAATGTGTATATTATTGTAAAATAGTCTCCTTTGTGGGCCTCCCCTGGTGGCACAGCAGTTGAGTGCTGGGTTGTGAAGCTGCCCGCAGCCTCCACGGTGCTGGTTTGATCCCCAGCTGCCAGAAGGGTCCCACATGGTGCGGTGCTGGTTTGATCCCCAGCTGCCAGAAGGGTCCCACATGGTGCGCAGACCTCTCCTGCCACCCGCTGCTCCCCTCAGCAGTGTACTTCCTCAGTCTTCCTGTTCTCCTCCCCGCTCTGGTTCTGGTGAATTCTCTCACTCTCCTGTGCTTCTGACTGTACCCAGTGCCTGTATAAATAAATAAATACATCTTAAAAATTAATCTCCTTTGTACTCACTGAGTATTTCTGCTGGGAGAAAAAGATGAATACTTCAGGGGCTATCAGCAAACATTTCCATTTTAAAGCCATTTCAGTTCATGACTCATACAGGGCTTGCCACCATATAAGGCCAAATGTGGCATTTACTCTATGATGCTATTAAGTTCATGCTGTTTGCCTGGGGCATTATTTCTTTTCCCTGGATGTTCCTATAAGACTCAGAATTGAGAATATTATTCACTGTACACAAAAATATAAAGGGTCTTTGTAATGCAGTCAAATATAAATGACATTTTAGGGTATCATCACTGTGAATGTTACATGAATCTCAAAGTCAAAACTGTTCACCTTATTAATTCAAGCATTAATTCAAGCATTCACCTTAATCAAGCATTTTCTACATGGATATAGAATATTGAGTTCAATTCTTTCCTCTGTTTAGTGAGATGAGCTCTATATACTGACCTTGTTTTTGCAGATTTA